TGCACACACACACACACACACACACACACACACACACACACACACACACACACACACAGTTGAATCAACACACACTTTCTTCCCACTTAAAATTTCAAGCATTCAACTGAGGTCTGAAGCTAAAATAGTCTTACAATAAGGTTTCATAGGACATAACAAGTAACAGTAACAAGTCCTGGGTTTGAGTTTGAGTCCAGCTTGGGCCCTCTTCTGTGTAGTTTGCATGTTCTCCCTGTGCTTGCATGTGATTTCTCCAAGTACTCTAGTTCTTCCCGTTTTCCAAAAAGATGCATGTCAGTCTCCTTGAAGACTCTAATTTGCCCATACAGTTGAGTGTGATTGTAAATGGTTCCTAGTTTGTTTAGAATGTGTGCACTGCAACTGACTAGTCACTTGTCCGAGCTCGAACCCTGCCTCTTGCCCAATCAGCCGAGCTAGGCTCCCGCTCACAAGTAACCTGAATGTGGACAAGCGCCATAGACAATGGATGGATGAATAGAAATATTGTTGTCTTTTGACATTCCAGGTTGTTTGAGACCACCCCACTTGGCAACATCCTCAACCGATTCTCCACTGACACGAACACGATCGATCAGCACATTCCGACCACTCTGGAGTGTCTGTCTCGCTCAACCTTGCTATGTGTGTCCGCCCTGGGGGTCATTTCCTACGTCACTCCTGTGTTCCTCATCGCCCTCCTGCCGCTGGCTGTCACCTGCTACTTCATCCAAAAATACTTTCGTGTGGCTTCCAGGTGAGACTGACAAGGACCGGCCGGGGGCATGTGCGTCAGTGTGTGGACAATATGGACAAGTGTTGAAAAAGACAAACTTTTTTTCACACCATATTTGTTTTCTTTCAAATACACTCAAACCTCGGTTTTCGTCCATAATCCGTTCCAGAAGGCTGTTCGAAAACCGAAACCACGCTCTTTTGAAAAAAAAAAAGTTTATTGAACACGTCTGTTCACAATGGAAAGCGATACGAGGAAGCGTCACTTCCTCGTCTACCCGAGGACGCGTCCTTGTGTAAGGAAGGCGAGAGAAGTCAAATGGTGCATTCAAGTGCGCTCAGTTCGTTCGAGAACCGAAATTTGTTCGTCATCCGAGGCATAAAAAATTTGAAATTTTTGGTCGAAAACCGAATTGGTCGAGAACCGAGACGTTCGAAAACCGAGGTTTGACTGTAAAGGGCAACATACAGAGGGTTACCTTTTACGAGAATTAGCTTACTTTTGCAGAACTTGGCTGAAGTAGTTGTTGTTCCGTTCCGCTCTTTTGCAAAGGGACCTGCAGCAGCTAGAGGACAGCACCCAACTGCCTCTGCTCTCCCACTTCTCTGAGACAGTGGAGGGTCTCACCACCATCAGGGCCCTCAGGTGAGCATAAATTCTTTTTGAACGGACTCATGAGGAATATTCTGCCATCACTGTACCAAAGCTCCTTGCCGTAGAAAGAATACTACTGATGAAATTACAAAACGAATCCTGTTTTCTTATCCTTCAGGTACGAGCCCAGGTTTAGACAGAGGTTACTTCAGTTCACAGATGCCAACAACATCGCCTCGCTTTTCCTCACAGCAGCCAATCGGTGGCTGGAGGTCCGCATGGTAATGACTTACTTGGATTTGTCCTGGTCTTGTTCCTCTCGTTCACATTCATGACATGCCACCAGCTTATGATGTTTTCATTTGGGCTCACGCATTTGGTCCCAGTGGAATTGACTTTGTTTATGGATCCCCTGGACAAATGATTTGGCATTTGCATTGGCAGTAAATAGGACGCTCGTCAATTTAATTTTTCATTATGCTCTTCATGACATCAGCGGAACATTCTCTATCTGCTTGTAGGAATATATTGGGACCTGTGTGGTGTTGGTAGCAGCTGTTTCTTCGATTACAAATTCGCTCTACGATCAGCTCTCTCCCGGACTGGTGGGGCTGGGCCTCACCTACGCACTCATGGTGAGACCGTGGGCCCTGTTTTCGTTCCGACGGTAATTGAAGGATCATTGAGTGAATCCGTTCTGTCGATCAGGTATCCAACTACCTAAACTGGATGGTGCGGAACCTGGCAGACATGGAAGTACAGCTGGGATCGGTCAAGAGAATTAACAGCCTCCTCAAAATAGAACCAGAGAATTACGAGGGTCTGCTGAGTGAGTTCCACCTTAAATCCATAAAGAATTTGTGGTTCTACAGCTTTGGAAAAAAACGGACTGAAAGTCATTTCAACTGGGCTCTAACCACTCCTAATCCAGATGTAATTAATCGCCATAAACTGTCTAGTTTGCAGTGCAACTAACGCTCGGCCGGCCTTTGTTGTGGTTGCCAGGCCTGTCTCAGGTCCCTGACGGCTGGCCCCAACGTGGCGAGATCCAGATCCAGAACCTGAGCGTCCGTTACGATGCCGCGCTCAAACCTGTGCTCAAAAACGTCCACGCGCACATCAACCCTGGACAGAAGGTCAAGAAGACTTCAGGTGAGAAAAAGAAAAAAGCTGAGCAAGCGTTCAAGTTGGGTGTTTGTTTTGCAGGTGGGGATCTGCGGCAGGACAGGCAGCGGCAAATCATCTTTCTCCCTGGCCTTCTTCCGCATGGTGGACATGTTTGAAGGTTTGCACTCTCAGACCATCATGTTTGATGCGGCACTTGATCATGCACTTGATGTGAATGATTTCTTTACTTTGACAGGGAGAATTGTGATTGATGACGTTGACATTGCCAAGCTGCCGTTGCAGACGCTGAGGTCTCGTCTGTCCATCATCCTGCAAGACCCGATCCTGTTCAGCGGCACCATTCGGTATGATGACAAACGAGCTTCCGTTTTACCTGCAGATGTTCTCGTCATCTCACATTAGATCAGGTGACACTTCAGGCACAGAAGGACCTGAACATTTTTGCACTGCACTTATTTATCTCATACACGAGCGTCGAACGGAGCTGAGAGCTTGTCACATTCCTTCAAAAGGACCTGTGTTATTTTTAGACAACCACAGAAGTGCCTATACAAGCTTTCAGGAATAGATGAGGGTTTTTTTTTTCCAAGTGGAACCTCTATGGTGGATCCCAATCTGGTCCAGGGATCACGTTTACTGTTTGTATTGACACAATGGTCGAATTGGAACTAATGGACGGGTTCCTGAGTTTGGCAGCCTCACAATTTAGAGGTCCCAAGTTTGAATCTCGGATCAGATTTGTGTGTTCTCCTCATGCTTTCCTTCCACAAGGCTCAGAGAAATTTCTTACAGTGACACACTTTAACATTCCCAAAACTATTGATTGTCCGTAAGTGTGAATGTGATGATGAATGGTTGTTTGTGCATATATGTTGCGCTGCCGACAAGTTCAGGGTGTACCTCCAGGAGGTGAGGTTTTCATCAGTTTGTTTCCATTCAACAGTTTTTGATCTATTGACACTGGCGTTTTGAAGAAATTGAAGTTTTTATTCCAAATATATGCTTTCTTTTAAATTTGTTGATGATATTACAAAAATATCTTTAACATTTTTTGAAATGACAATCATTAATTGTAGGTGGGTGGCAGCAATTATATATGATTCCAAATTGAACAAATTGTGCTATGTGTATACAAGCGTAAAAGATGAAATTGTGTTTAATCCAGATCTGATTTTGATTGCAATATTACTTTTTCAAATTTGACATTGAAAACCTCACGCGCTGTACATGTTCACATTCACAATTAAATGTCTAGGCACATTCTTCTAATAAATATTTCAGAAGCTTGTAAGCTTTCGAAGGTAATTGTTTAACATTTAATGTATGGTGTGAGTTCTGCTTTTGTTCCAGTTATTGTGTATGTGGTGTGTTTGTGTGTAGGTTCAACCTGGACCCAGAAATGAAGGCCACGGATGAGATGCTTTGGGAAGCTTTGGAGATTGCCCAACTGAAACCTGTTGTTAAGTCACTTCCAGGAGGGCTGGGTGAGTTTATAGTTGGATCTATTTTAGAGTGTGTGTGTGTGTGTGTGTGTGTGTGTGTGTGTGTGTGTGTGTGTGTGTGTGTGTGTGTGTGTGTGTGTGTGTGTGTGTGTGTGTGTGTGTGTGTGTGTGTGTGTGTGTGTGTGTGTGTGTGTGTGTGTGAAGACATACGTGCTGTCAAACACACTGTTGTGATCGTATCATGCCAGAAAAAAAAACTGAATCAAAGGTCAGTTTGTTTCCACGACCACTAAAAAGGTGCCAAACTTTACCCGGACGTCCTCCATCGCACGTCTGCTGCATTGTATCAACAATACATGAGCATCAATATTTCAAATGCCCTGCAAAGGCTGTTTATGCACAGTGCTCGTTCTCAGGTGGCAGTCTGATACTCAGATCACATCTAGTAGGGGACACTCACCTTCATCTGACTTCCACGCTAAGTGTGATGAACGTGACGAGTGCCTGGTATGCTTACGACTTTATTTAGCTGCTGTGGGCTTGCTACTTATCTCCCCTATACTCTTGTAAGTGTCACGAACAAGCAGTCAAGGTGATGATTCAACATCATTTGATGCTCACCTCAGGCTCGACACAATGGCAACCGATAACTTGTAGTGTCTGTCTGTTCGTCCATCCGTCCGTATCTACATATCCTATGTCAACTTATGAGCCGAACACTCTCTCTCTCTCTCTCTCTCTCTCTCTCTCTCTCTCTCTCTGTTGATCTATATGTCTATCTGTTTCTCTGTCTATATATCTATATATAGTTACATCAATACTGTACTACATTACATTACATATAGGAAGCAACTAGTCATAGTGGCGAGCACGAGATGCTGGGTTTGAATCACAGGTGGAACATCATCATCGTGTTCTCCCGTGCTTATAAGAGTTTACTCAGTTTATTCTTGCTTCCGACCCTAAATGCATTTCTTAGTTTAACCATAAGTGTGACAATTGTTTATTCATTGTTTACATTTGCCCTGCAATTGACTGGCTAGCCAAGGAGCATTATTATTATTATTATTATTATTACTTTTTTGCCATAGTTTCTTGTGTTGGGTCTGATTAGATTATTGATGTTTAGCAAATGAATGATGATTGCACTTCTTAATTTGAACATGTTTCCAGATGCCAATGTGACGGAGGGAGGAGAAAATTTCAGCCAGGGTCAGCGTCAGCTTTTCTGCTTGGCCAGGGCTTTTGTGAGGAAGAGTAGCATCCTCATCATGGATGAAGCCACGGCATCCATCGACATGGCAACGGTCAGTGTGTGTTTACGGCTAACCATGTTTCTAGGGAGAAAACGGTTCCAGGGAGAGGTGGAGTGGAGGTCACCGAGTGATATTCTGTCACCAATGGCAACTATAAAACACCAGGAAATACAGTTTGCGGCAAAAGCTAAGTGGGTGATTCTAAAAAAAAAACTGTACTTACTTCTGCAGGAGTGGAGAACGAAAAGTGTGCAAATAAGAGCCTGAGGGCTGGAGTGTGCAATCGGCTGCTGCTTACTTAAGAGCCTCTCCTGAATGCTGGTTGACAAAGACTGACATTTGTGGTCTCAATAACACACCACTGATGCCTTCAAGCAGACAGCGCTGAGCTTTTAACTTCACTCACCCAATGTACTTTCTTAGGTCAAGTCGATTGGAAGCGAGTGAGGGGAAAAAACAAGCATTGAACAGCTTTTGTTTTTCTTTTTAAATTAGTGACACATTTTCTAAAACCACTACATGGTGGTACGCCTGCACAGTGCAATGAGGTAAAATACAGGAGCAAATTAAATACTACCTTTAGAGTGTTTTTTAAAATTCGTTTTCAGATATAACCATCCAAATTAAAATGGATTAACAATTCAAATGTTTCAGTGTGTGCCTAATGAATGCATGCATTACACAAGTTTCACTACTCAAATAGTACTGTATTACTGAAATTAATCAACTTTTTCATGACATTGACACTTTTTGATGAGCACCTGTACATTTAACAATACAGTGTTGCCTTGAGATAAAAGTGTCTCGAACTATAAGCTTTTGCAAATACAAACCATAGTCCGGCCAACTTTTTGCTTTGGATCGCGAGCAAAAATTTGTCTTTATGAACAATATAAAGAGGCAGTGAATTCAGCTCAACACCATTGAAGATAAGCAGAGAGTAAAAAAATTCTTCAAAACAGAAGCTTTAGACTGCTCATTGGCACTTGGGATAAATAGCAAAACAAAATAATCATAAAACACAATAATTACATGATGTGTATTTAAAACAACCACATAGCTTTCTCTCTGGAAAGTCTGTTTGGCTTAATGCTACAAATCGTGCAAAACTTCGTAGACAGACTAACCAATATATAAAATAATACTCACAGGCATGTATTTATCATTTTGTGAAAAATAATGAATCTTACTCCAAGTTACTGAGTCAGTAGTGAAACCTTTGCGTGGGTTGGAATGTGGGTCTGGTACGGATTAATGGCTACCTCATTAATTTCAATAGGGAAAGATTATTTGAAACGTAGGTGTTTTGACTTCCGTGCACAGTCATGGAATACAGTCAGCTCGTATTAAGGCACCAGTGTATGTTTGATATTATGGTTGGCGACTGTAGCATTATATTGCATATTATGTTTTTCATGTTTATATTTTTTCATTTAGAACTGTAAGAAGAGCAAAATTAAACACTAAAAATATCATTTATGTACCCATACCATTAATGTTTGTGTGTGTGTGTGTGTGTGTGTGTGTGTGTGTGTGTGCGTGCGTGCGTGCGTGCGTGCGTGCGTGCGTGCGTGTGTGTGTGTGTTTGTATTTATATAATATATGATAAGAAAAATATATAAAAAAAAGAAAATATAATATGTATGTGTAAAATTGAATTTTTCTTCTGCACCCATAGGAGAGCATCCTGCAGAAAGTGGTGATGACTGCCTTTGCTGACAGAACAGTGGTTACAATAGCAGTAAGAGCACATACAGCAGTTTATAATCGCCACTCCCCGTCCACACACACACACACACACACACACACACACACACACACACACACACACACACACACACACACACACTCACTCCCCCCATACACACGTTTTGGACTGCGCTTGTTTGTTAAGCGGCCTCCCTTGTGCTCCTCTGTGCCGCACAGCATCGCGTCCACACCATCCTGAATGCCGACCTGGTGATTGTAATGAAGCGCGGGATCATCCTGGAGTATGACAAGCCCCAGGCTTTGCTGGCGAAGGAGGACAGCGTCTTCGCCTCCTTTGTGCAAGCAGACAAGTAGCACAAGAACAAGGAGGAGAGCGCATGTCAAAGGAAGACATTCAAAGTGCAATTGATCTATGGAATATTATACCTGTATTTTTTATTCATATTGTATTATATTTGTACATAACAATGTGAGATGGTTGCTAATAAAATATATATATTACCACTGAGCGATTTTTTTTGTCCACTGAGGCAAGTGAGGTGTTTTTGACTTTAGAGTGATCTACACTGACCCTGGCAGTAACACATATTCATATTCTCACGGGTGTCACAAGATCCTGCAGGAGCCAAGAATGACTTTGGAATGCTAAAAGGGCGCCTTATAAATAGCCACGACAGGCCAGGAAAACGACATCCTGCACCAGGCACAACTATTACTGCTCTTAAAAGACCAACAGGGAATCATAAAACATTTGGTAAACCTTCACTTAAAAAGACAAGAAATATAATCAAAAAGCTCTCTTTAAAAAATGATAACACTCAGTTTTGATTGGCGCTGTCAGATATATAATATGATATCATATTGGGTTTGTCATTTACAGTGCGGTAGAACTGATTTGCATGAGAGCTGTTGCAATTATTTTTAAGACTGTTTTACTTGCAAACAAGATAATATTTGTTAATGAGTACACCATTGCAAACCGCAAGCACAAAAAGCATTTAAACATTTGTTAGAGGATTTCAAATGTCACTCTGGGCCAAGATTCATTTTGGATGAGTTTGTGACTGATTTTGTTGAATGGTGCATCCAATTCATCAACCTCTCTACTAGTTAGATCACATTGATGTGTGGACATCATCATGTGGTTAGCTCTCAGGAACAATATCGAGACACCAGCATCAGCTTCCTTCCCTCCCTTCGTTTCATTTTCCTTTCTTCCCCTTCCAAACTGGTTTCCTTCCTTTCTTTTTCCTATATCCATACTTTTTGTCCTTTTATTTTCCTCGTTTTAACGCATCCTTTCCTTGCTTCTTTTTTCCTCCTTTCTTAAGAAAGACATTGCTTGTCTGAAATCGATACAGGAATTTTCAAAACACTTCATCCATTTAGATCACAGATTGAGAGAATGCAGTAGATGTCAGGTGGGGTATATCGTGTACTGCATTTGAATATTTATTTTAAATGTTTGTTTCATTTATTGGGGGTTGGGATGACATGGTCAAACCAAACCTATGCAGAGAGAGAGACAGAGAGACAGAGAGAAAGAGAGAGAGAGAGAGAGAGAGAGAGAGAGAGAGAGATCTAAATTTACAGTTTCAGTAGGCTCCTCCAAAGATAGCATGCCAACAATATGAACATTTAAAAAATCTCTATACAAGGTGTAAAAAGGTGCAGTGTAACAGTCTAGTTCAAGTAAACTCTAGTTAGTATTTTAAATAAATTAGCAATTCAGGTTCGAGTAAATATTTGATGTGAAAAACTATTTGAGATTAAAGATATAAAACAATCAAATTAAAAGTAATAATTCGGCGAGGAGGGCTTCTCGTAAACTGGAGATGTCGTATGTCTGTGGCGTTAACAGAGGACCCCCTCTCCTGTATACTTCAAGATGTTTCAAACGTAATTGGCCCCTTTGTGCCCAGCAAGGGCACGACAGAGGTGCTGGAGGGAGGGTCTGCAGCCACCCCCACCCCCCGCGTTGTGCTATCGAGCTGGAGAGTCAGCACAAAAGGAAAAGTGCATCACGGAGATGGGCCGTTAGCACCACAAAACTGCTTCAAAAAAGCCTACTGAAGAAAGCGACGTCAAGTGCTTGTGCATGCGTGGTGAATCTCACAATGCGGCGTACGCCTGCCGCTGGTGGGGGTCTTGTTGTTGGTGTTATTGGTTGTGCACCCTGAGTGACGGTGGCAGCTGAGGACGAAGGAGAAGGAATCCCCACATGGGACGTCAACCGCCTGACCGGGGGGCAACGTGAGGAGAGCGCATTGCTTCGGACGACCAGACGACCATGAAGGCTGCGGACGGGCGAAAAGGCTGACAAAAAGCTGCAAAGCGACACACACACACACACACACGCACACACAAACAAAAGAAAGCCAACATTTTATTCATCTGTCAGCCCGACGCTGCCTTTGGGGTCGTAATGCGGGAGAGCCATGTTGTCGAGAAAAGGCCTCATCCCGGAGGACTACTTGCTGACACGCTTGGCTGAGGATGTTCAACAGCCCAAGTTCAAAACGAAACCGAGGAAAGCCCGCTTCGTGGCCAAGAACGGCGCCTGCAATGTGGCGCACACCAACATCCGCGAGCAGGGTCGATTCCTGCAAGACGTCTTCACCACTCTGGTGGACTTGAAATGGCTCCACACGCTCATCATCTTCACCATGTCGTTCCTGTGCAGTTGGCTCCTCTTTGGGATGATCTGGTGGCTTATTGCTTTCGCGCACGGCGACTTGGACCGGCGGGCGGGCGACTTCGTGCCGTGCGTCACGGACATCCACTCCTTCTCGTCCGCCTTCCTCTTCTCCATCGAGGTGCAGGTGACGATCGGCTTCGGGGCGAGGATGGTGACGGAGGAGTGCGTGTCCGCCATTGTCGTGCTCATCATGCAGAACATCGTGGGGCTGGTCATCAACGCCATCATGCTGGGCTGCATCTTCATGAAGACGGCGCAGGCGCACAGGCGCGCCGAGACACTCATTTTCAGCAAGCACGCCGTCATCTCCGTGCGGAACAACAAACTTTGCTTCATGGTGCGCATCGGCGACCTGAGGAAGAGCATGATCATTAGCGCCACCGTACGGATGCAGGTGGTCAAGAGAACCACCACTGAGGAGGGCGAGGTGGTGCCCCTGGACCAGATCGACATCCAGATGGATAACCCGGTGGGCATCAACGGGGTCTTCCTGGTGTCCCCGCTCATCATCTGTCACGTGATCGACAAGGACAGCCCGCTGTACGCCATGTCCGCCGTGGACCTGCAGCACAACGACGTGGAGGTCATCGTGGTGCTGGAGGGGGTGGTGGAGACCACCGGCATCACCACGCAGGCCAGGACCTCGTACGTGTCCGATGAGATCCTCTGGGGGCAGCGATTCGTGCCCACAGTGTCCGAGGAGGACGGCATGTACGCGGTGGATTACTCCAAATTCGGCAACACGCAGAAGGTGCCCACTCCGTGCTGCAGCGCCAAGAAACTGGACGAGGCGGGCGGCATCGCGAGGTTTAAAGTCACCGAGGGCGTCACCTTGCGGACGTCGGTGAGAAGGCGGCCCGGGTCCACCGTAGCCCGGCGCTCCAGGCTGCAGAGCCGATGATGACGACTTGCTTACTCCGAATAAATTCACATGGACGAAGACTGCGCTCGTATGGTCTGGCCTCATATTCTTCCGTTCAACTCAATTCAATTCTGTTATTTATATAGAACCGACTCACAACAGAAGTAACTTTTCATCTACAGTGGAGGGATAGAGTGGGGGCAACATAAAAAAAAAATCCCTTCCCCTCCTCGAAAAATATACGCCAGTTTACCACATTTCAATTATGTGGGTACAACTGCAGGCTATGTTCAAATTAAGTACATTGAAAGTTTTTTTTTTTCAGTGAAGCTCTCGAACTGGGGTGGGCAAACTTTTGTCCTCATTTGCCACACGACCATGCAGGTATTTTGCAGATGAGGTGAAAACAAATAAACTGTAGCTGTTGTGAAAGCACTGTTTCAACAGATTGATTTTGTTAAGGACATATAAAAATATTAAAATGTTCATTATTTTAAGAGGACTATTTAACATAAAATGAATTCTAATTAGTTAATCATGAAATGGATCATTAATGAAATAACTTAATTCCCATCAATGAGCCTACCTACGATAATTAAAGTAATACAAAAATTGTGCATTTTACATTTCTTTCAGTTTAATGACATGCAACAATTCAAATTAAAGTGCTGAACATTTTTTATTGATACATTTTAAAATCAGAGATGCAAGTAATATTTTTAGCTGAATTCCGAATCTTCCCTCGCTTTTTGCTGAGCACATCAATTTTTCCTAAATCAAGAATAATAATTGTCATAATCATGATCATAATAATGTGGCGCTAGACGATATGTGTGTTATTGTGGAAGAAATCTAATGTGTTTAAATAAGATGAGCTTTTTTTGTTCCAAAATTGGGAAATTTTGGAAATAACAAAAACACCACCACCAACAAAACACTTGTTTAACCTCCTAAGACCTGAACTCTTGCAAGGCATGCATTTTTATTTTATTTTCTCTTTGATATTTAGGCTAATTGGGACCTGATGAGTGTAAAAACAAAGAATAATCTTTTTACATGATGTAACGTCCTCGTAAGTGGATGCCAGGCCCTTGTAGTCCAAAATTTAACATTGTAGTCTTGACAACCAAAAACGTCATGTCCACACATGTGGATGCCAGGTCCCAGGAGGTTGAAGATGTCACAAAGTAGTTAGGAATCAATGCCGCTGTGTTGCAGCGGCCCCTGTGGCTATTTACTGTACATCCTTGTTAGTGCTAGTCTGACAAAAGAACACAGCATATGTGTCAGTCATACTTTGCCCACCCCTGGTCTCTAAAAGTACACTCCTGACGAATTTATTTATAATAATAATTTAAGGGCAAATTCAACATCACCCTTAGTGGTAAATTTGTTGTTGTTGTACACCACAGAAAACCAGATCACCAGGGGTGTATATAGACAGATAGTTTTCCGTGGGCTGGCCAAGGTGCATTCAGTCAATTGGTTTGGACAAAAATAATCATTGTGGAAACTAGTTTAATTTCGCTGACCTTATAATGATTTTGTAGTGAATGTCAGTCACTTAAGAATGTCATTCAGTCGGCATTTAACTTTTAATTCAAATCTTAATACGTTTGGAAAAAAAAAAGCTTGTTTCAGGGGGGAAACTAAAACAGATGTCTATCTTGGCACCAAATCAAGATGCAGACATTTTAGGCACAGAACCAACGACGTTCCGTCTCTAAACACGAAATAAGAATGCAGTACAAACAAGACACACAGGATCAGAATGACCTTTTTCTTTTATTAGATTATAATCAGCAGAGCTTGAAATATTAAATTGCTTTTAACTTAGTTAATAATTAAAATACATAAAAACAAGAGCCAGAACTGAAGAACCCTGCAAAAAAGAAAACAAAAATAAATTAAAGAAGGGACAAATATAAACTCAATCCTCCTCCCACATAGAAGCTGTCTGACAGAAGTCCAAGCAGAAGTTGTTTTCTTCTATGTGTAATGGTATCTATTGTTATTTCCAAACTAATTTTCCTTTCATAGTCTTTTTAAAAGCAAATTTTAAAAAGGGACATGGAAAACTAAACAATGAACGAAGAAGAAAAGAATGGAGATTTGCAGCTCTCCGCCAGCACGCTGCACCCCCCCCCCCCTCGCCTTTCTCTGCATGTTGCTGTGTGGGGGACTGCAGACATGACATCATGTCTTTGTCCATCTGAGCTGCTGCGGCAGGTGTGTGTGTTTGGGTAGAGGTTGTGGAGGGGGGTGCGGGGGTGCGCCACCCTGAAACCAGCACTCCAGCCACCACTATGTTAAAGTATCACCATTTCTCTGATCAGATTAAATATCTAATATACAATCTTACATTTTTCTGTCCATCTTTCTGTGCATTTTTATCTTTGCTGCCCTCTAGAGGGGAGTAAGTTCCACAACATGTTTGTTTTGGGGCCACGCTATTAGTACGTGTAGGTCACGTGGTGGATTTGGCCAACTAAAGGGACAGAGAATGAAAAGAGAGAAAAGCCTCTCCGGCAGCAGTGACAAAACTCTCAGGTCCTGAGTAGGAGGTGCCTTGAATCAAGGCCCACATAAACAACCCAAACCGGGGACTGGCTAATATTAACCATCAAGGCGCTCAGGGCCAGCGTGGTGCTTCGCGCTATCGGGAGGAGGCCAGCAGAGACGCCGCTTGTCCGTCCGACACAAACCCGGGGCAAGAGTGGCTCCAAGCAAAGTATAGCCCCCTCGTGGACAGGAAGTGTGCTAGTTAGAGCAGAGACAGCAGAGCCAATCCCCCCCCCCCCCCCCCCCCACACACACACACACACACACAATCTCACACCTTCAACCCAACTAAACAACAACAAAAATTGAACCAAATAACTCTCCAACAAAAGTAAAAGTGAAATTAAACTAAACAAATGAAACACAGCCTTAATTTTTGTCCTAGTTTAAATGGCAGAGAAGATGGGAGGGATGTTTTTTTTTCTTTTAATCCCTGGGAGAAACGTTCACGCCAATTCCTGCTGGCGTTACAAACCCCTCGCTACCACCCACCCTCCCCAATTCCTGCCAATCCCCCCCTCCCCTCTCTTGTTCACCCGACTGGTTGGTTGGTGTTGCAGCGGAATACGCAAGTGTAGTGTGGAAGGTCTGTCAAGTCCCGCTGGCACACGGCGGAAGGCGGCCAGGCCGTCTTTCCTTCTCTCCTTTCTTATCCTCTGTCGCCCCCGGGCCGGCATCTCGGCGGCGCCTCCCCTCATCTCTCCGTCACGTGGTTTTGTGACGAAGGAGAGGGAGACGAAGTCGGCGAGGAGGGTGCCGGCGCGGTCGAGGGCGGCGGCGGGGCGGGGACGCACAGGATTTCGGACAGGTCGTCCATGATGCAGGTCTCCTTGGGGTCGACCAGGTTGAACTCCCTTACGAAAACAATGAAATGTGCATAGAGAGTGTTCAAGTGGCCCTGCAGGTCCAGTGCCACTGTCTCTTTAAAGTGCGCCCAGTAGAGGTGAGCCAGCACATGGAACAGGTAGCGGCAGATCTTCTTCACCAACGTGTCAAAGGAGTTGGGGAATTCTTTGCCTGAGGGAAGAACGAGACAGTTAGGAAGGGGAAGAACCTTGCTGACGTCCACGCCCTCCCTCTCTGCCTGCAACTTGAAGGAAAGAAAAGCAACTTGGCTTTCTTGCTTTGTTTGAGTGGCAGACCACAACAGAGGCAGCAGAGGGCAGCAGCACAACATTTGTTGGTCCACGACCACAGCGTTTCCCAAACTTTTGAGTCCCTGCACACTACCAAAGAAAAATGTCACCACAGAAGTGCAACAGCACCGATCTCCCTTCTCAGTTGACCTACTCTGTGTGATCTCTGAGCCTGTTCAGTTCAACACAAAGCCGATATCATTGAAGAAGGAGACAACAGACACTTTGAAGAGCTCCAGTCTGTTTTTTTTTTCTTCCAGCTAGTCATGCTGCTAGCTGGATAACACACGCCAATTGCTGTACATTGCTGGCAGAGATAGATGACCAAAGATACATTCTTTTTAGTAAATAAATAACACCGGTTAACATGTTTTTCTTAATTTATTTAATCAGAGATGCTAATAAAATAGTTTTTTTGCTGTGACTGCTATTGGTTTTTCTTTAGCACATCAGGTTTGATTACAATATTATGAATATAATAGCAATTATATAATACATAATATTGCATTATATTTTGTCACATTTATGAATTAAGGGTTTGATTCAGAAAAAGTGGGATTTCATTCCGAAACTATATAGTTGAATAAATTACACCACATGGCAAAAATCCTTATTGCGCAAGCTTTTATAAATCCAATTTAAAAACAAAAATGAGAATATCTCAACAGCCTGGTGCGCTAAAAAAAACCCAACAAAGACATTTGTTTGAGTCAGTGTCAAAAAATATGTTTCGGGACACTCAGATCCATCTTCGATTCAAATTTGGTGTTGACCAGTGGAACGCTTTTGAGATTAGTTCTCAAATAATTTCCCACAGCCCCTCCATGATCTTACTTAAGAAGGGGAACGGATACTTACCATATTTCGTAGGAAACACTTCCTCATCGGTGACCAGTTTCTGACAAAGACTCATAACAAGGTCAACGTATTGTGGCGCAGTGCACTTTGTCTTCTTCCCCTTCTCGTCCTGCCAGTAGTATATTCTGGAAAACATAAAATTAAATGTAAAAAAAAAAAACAAAAACAAAAAACACACACACACACACACACACACACACACACACACACACACACACACACACATTAATGTGTGTTGCAACATAAGATTTTTTTCACAGTGGGTTGGAAAAACATTGTGGAAATGAGGTCGTCATGAATCATGTAAATGTTTTCTTAAGAATGTTTGAGGAAGGAGCAGCTGCGACATGCAAACATCTCTTGTGACATGCACTCCACAACAGGTAGGTCATCTTAAGGTCAACGTATTGTGGCGCAGTGCACTTTGTCTTCTTCCCCTTCTCGTCCTGCCAGTAGTATATTCTGGAAAACATAAAATTAAATGTAAAAAAAAAAAACAAAAACAAAAAACACACACACACACACACACACACACACACACACACACACACACACACACACACACACACACACATTAATGTGTGTTGCAACATAAGATTTTTTTCACAGTGGGTTGGAAAAACATTGTGGAAATGAGGTCGTCATGAATCATGTAAATGTTTTCTTAAGAATGTTTGAGGAAGGAGCAGCTGCGACATGCAAACATCTCTTGTGACATGCACTCCACAACAGGTAGGTCATCTTAAGAGATATTGATCAGCTGCTCTCTATGACCTCAATTGGGGAAAACCCCAATACACCAGTTAGGTGTCACACTCTGAGGACTACACTAAATCAGGTAAGGTGAGCACAATAGTTGACTTCGTAATAGAGCACATGCATACCGCTACTATGACAAACAGTGCCGTTGGTTTCCGGCCACGTTCCATTCCTATGTTGACGACGTAAATTGAATTCGGCAGAACACACACTATCCTATGCTATTGCAGTCATGAAGTCATCATCACAGTGACTACTTGTGAGAAGAATAACACACCTCGGGCCGTAAAAAGGAAACAATCAAAGTAAACCAGCAATTATGTGATGACATCAGTTCTGCAGTTTATTGTGCGTCTTTTGCTGCCGTGAACGACTTTTTGTTCAAGGACCTCTTTCGAGATTTATTTGCCTCACGAAGCAATTTCACTGAGGGTCACAGTGGAACCACAAGGAAAACTCTGCCTTTAAATCGGGCGTGTGCAAAAGATGGCCCGTGGGCCACATGTAGCCGCTTTCCGTCTCCAATTCGGCCCACCGAGCATTTATATGACTTCAAGTCCTGTCATGTTTGACGTATTAATTTTGCATTTCTCCTAAAATTGGTGAACATGTATTTTAACATTATTTAACAGTATTTATTTATAATACCTCACACCGCCATCTTGGAAACACCTCACCAATCTGCGGATTTTCAGACCTCACGTTCAGTGAGCATCAATGGATTGAATGGGCAGGTTCTGCTGTCCTTTGTTTGTTTTTTGTGAGACCTGCTCCTAAGAAAGGTGCTTCCTCAACTACTGGTGGAAAGAGTTGAAGAATGCGAGTAATTATGCAGCGTTCAAGCCAATACAGTTTAACTGAAATTGCTTAACAGTGGTTAACTTGTGTTTACACTTATTAACAATGGTAAGATGTTAACTTGGAAAATGGACGATGCATGCACTTTGACCCTGGAGCAGATAGTCTCCACTTTCCATTGATGTACAAATCATAATTAAAGAGCAACTTTTTCTCATGCAAACGACAAAGAGCTGAACTCAAATATGCCCATAAAGTTAACGTGCATTTCGAGTACAGTTCAACATATTGTCCTCTGTCTGCACACAAAATAGGTTAATGACACTTAAATGGTTGCGCTGCCGTCATAGCGTATGGAAACATTTTCTTCACCAAATACTACTGAGCTCTCTTTGGGCAGGGCACTGGCAGCCCTGTGACTGCAGCCAGAAAAGACAAGCAGTAAAGGGTGGGTGGGTCACTCTTGCGTGATGAAACGGGTGGACCGGGGTGAACACAAAGTGTCATCACTGTCAAAATTGGGTTTTGTTCCACTCATAAGCAGCCACATGACACGAAGAAACAAAAAACATGTTGAATGTCCTCTATTGTTGTCCTTTTGGCACTTCACCGTACAGCACACGTGGATAATTGTCACTGCTCATCCAGACCCACTTTTTCACTGTGTCGTGGAAACCAATGCCAGATCGACAGCCAATATATTTGTTCATATTTCTCCCTCGTCATATGGCCACGGCACATTGGTCAGAGAGCAGTGGCCAAAGTGACAGCATCAGCCAAATGACTGTTGACTGAGGGGTTAAATCATGACAAGCTCATCTTTCACAGTGAATGGGACAGGTGTGTACTATGACTGAACAGTTGGGTTGTCATTTGCTTGAGTGATGTATGCATGTGCGCAAGTGCGTACAGTCGCGTACGGGTAATCTGGTTTTTCCAGAGTGCAGAATACACAGGATGAACAAAGGCCTGCTCCTTAAGACAAGGGATCACACATTAAGTCGATACCCCACCCTGACAGGGTAAACTAGTTGGATAAATAATTATAATTAGCCACCTCCCCATTGTTGTATGGGACAAACAGTCTTCCAGTGGACAATGTGGCCTTTGAAAGGCGCCAACTGCCACACAGGTATTTGCAACTGTTTAACGGCAAACCTGTTTCTTCCTTGGTGGGAAAACCTTTGCTCTTGAAAATTATTTACTGCTGCAGTTAATTTCAAAAGACCTTTTTCCGAGTAAGGGGGAGGAAAAAAAAAGAAAAAAGTAATATAGGCCACTCAAATAGGGGTTATTTATTTATCTATTTTTGACTACTGCACTATTAAACATCTGGGCACATTTTATAACAGTGGTTTTATCACGACTGAGGAAAAGGAGGTCATGGTCGTCTTCACTTTAGTCAGCTCTGTCAAACACAGGTTGCAGAATGAAGACCCAGGAAAACCGTACTTGCCGTCTAGCAGCTCTTGGCTAAGCAGCAGGCTGACTGAAGTGCACTGATGCTGCATGCAGCCCATTCCAAGAAGGACAGTTGAGCAGCCTCTAACTTCTTTTGGGATGCTTAATACAAAAGGGCAAGTCTAGTTCAAAACTTTCTTCACAATAATATTTTCTATGTACCTCTACTAGTCTAAACACGGTATTCCCATTCATATTGTGTTTGTAAATCACAATGTCCAAGTACTCAACTTGAGCACGTCACATGACCAAAACCTAGAAAACGGGTGAGGTGAGCTGTGTTTCCACTAATGCTGCCGCTGTTGTGAAAGCGCTATATAAATCAGCATGTATTGTATTGTATTGTAATGGGGGAGTATAGAACATATTACGATCAAGAACTGTTTTGCTTTAATGTCCCCTTTTAACCTGTGCCAAAGCAGATAAACGGCAGATAAACACCACAAAATTATGCCTCAAAACATCAAACAAAAACTCATCATCTGATCATGTCACATGATGAGGAGAAAGACTGCCTTGTTGTTTCACCATATTGGTTTGCTCAGTTTATACTTGTCTGACAGTGTTTATGATGTGATCAATTACATTACTGTTTTTGGGGGGGGGGGGGGGGGGGGGAGGCGTAATGATTGACCTTTTCAGGTTAAAAGTGCAGCTCATTACTCACGTGTTGCATGCCGTCATGGCTTGACAGCTGTCCCCAGTGCAGAACTCCGAGATGGTGCTGTACTGCAAGTTGATAAGATTGAAGAATGTAGTTGCTGCAGGAAAAACAACAAAAAAAGGAGAGGTCACATCATGCCAATGTGATACGTCAACATATCAGCAAATGATTATGCTCCCTGAATAATGCTTATTGACGTCACAACACGGAAGGGGTGTATTGGTTAATGACTGATCGTCTCGTGGACTGTCGGGCATATGTCATTGACATCAATGAGTCACAGTCACAAGCAGCACTATTAACCAGTAATTAAAACACTGGTTTTATTGAAGTCTTTATAATTAAATTGTCAAAATGGATGCAAGCCAAAAGATCTAAAAGAAATGACAGAAACATGCCAAGGGGTGTAAAATCTATTTTTTCATGTGACGGCCCAAGTTCTCAGCAGCAGGGAGGCCAAGAGCTGCTTTATCAGGTTGATTTATTTTTGGCCGACACTCATGTTGCCTGGTAAAGAATGTGCTTGCATTTAAGCACCGCAGAGATGATGACTCACAGTACAAGGTAATCGTGCTGCTTGCGTATTAAAGCGGCAACATTTAGGTTAACCGCACTTGAGCCATTTAAGCATTTCATGTGGAGATGTACCTGCAAGGCTTCCAGAGTCAAAGCGTTATGCTCAAAAGCCAACTCATCTCACTCTAGCGTGGGAAAACTCGTCCGAGGTTTTCATGTGACTGCGGAGCAACGTGACTCACTCTTATCTTGCATTAGAGTCTTGGTTGCCGACATATGGCCATTGAAATTGTGTCATATTTTTCAAGCCCAACAAAAATGTTGCGAAATATTCAGAGGACTGTGTGGAAAAATAACACAAGTTGTTAGAGACTTTGTTTGAACATCAATAACTTGTGTTGAGGCTTGAAGATAAAATTAAAAATCAGTTGGCTACAAGGCAAAACACACTACAGAGTGAACAAGTGCAAACCAGGTTTGACATACAGTATCATTTCTTTTTTTCCCCTGCCTTGTGGAGCAGCCCTTTATTGAATACCTGAGAAAAACAGTCAGGGGGACCAACTAAATAAACAGCAGAATCAATCAAGCTGCCTGTTTGCAACGGTGTGCTTACACAATTCAAGAAATTATGCTCTGAAGGACTAGTGTAAATTTAAGAAAGACGAAAAAGGTAAACAGGACTGACAGCAAGGAATGGTGTTTCAAGGAACAGTTTGTTGTGTTGCTGGGAACGGGCTAAATACTGTGCCATGTCTGCGTCGTGTTAAAGGTTTGGCTCTGTGGTCGCTGCACCTCCGGCGGCTTCTGTTGGCTGACATTTTCACTTTCCACAGTTTTGCCTTTCCAGAAAATCTCCGGTGTTGTTTTTCACCTGGCATCAGTAGTACACCTTACATAGAAAAAGCTATTGTGGCACTTTGGTTGACAGTGGACTGATGCCAACCGAGGTGGCCTGGCACACAACGAGGCATGGACTGACATTTGATTCTGATGGTATGATAACGGACCGTGAGCAAAAATACCGCGGTATCGTGGTATTAAAATGACTGCTGTCAAAAATTTGCTTTTCGAAATATTTGGGTAAATAAAACTTTTTTTTTCTGATTGAACACAATCATTTCCCCCCCAAATATCGAATATTTGGTACAGAAGAAACGTGCCATGTTGAGTTTCATGAAATAAACCTGAACATTCTTCTGATTTAACAAATCTTAGTAAGTTACAGTGTCCCATCAGTGGTGAGTTATTTTTAGAACAGACAGGTGGGCCACTTATGTTGTTCTTGGGCTAACCCATATCCGCTGGCATCCCTTTTTTTTTTTTGGGGGGACAATGCATATTAACTATAGCAAAAGGTATCCGTGCTTTCATCTTGCACCCTCCTCGTCCATGCATGACTGCTCTCAGAGGACAAAAAAAAAAAAAAAAAAGTTAATTGGAGGAACTTGACTTCCAAGAGGTGGCTCATTTACTCAACTGTACATGCAGCCAATGAAATTGCACCCTGCTTGCACATCCTCTTAAAAGAAAAGAGGTTCCAGGTGACGGCCAGTTTTCACGGTTATTGAAACCTTGACTTTTTAAGACCACGGTCAACCATCATCGGCCCATGCCAAAATGGAGTTGGATGGGTTTGAAGTGAATTTTTCCACCACAACATCACCCAATTATAATGTAACGGACTTGGCTTGGATTGATATCACAATGCTGAAAGCAATAAATTGTCCCAATTGTCTTGTTTCCTGAAACTAAGGAGTCTTATTCAACACGTAATCCACAAAGTAATTGATTTATTAAGAAATGTGTGTGCTTGTCCATGTAATGCCCTGTGTACTTATAGGGTATTGAAACAGCAACCACTATCGCTTACTGTTGCTGGCAAGCCATTCGTGGAGGTCTATTTCTCGGGGCAGAACCACCAGCTCCTTCAGGTCAAAATCCACCACGCGGATCTTTGTGAACTCCAGCTCGAGGTATTGCTTCTTCTCTTCTGCTGGAGGCTTCTTTCCATTTGGCTTTGTCTTTGACTTCCTGTCAAACAGAAGAACAATGGAATTACACAATGTAAGACTGTGGAATACAGCAAATAAAGTAATCTTTCTGCAGTTTCTGGCCTCTAACATTTCCAGGAATGCAGAGAAAGAAATATTTGAAAGATTCGTTTCCAAGAGGGTGGTCAGGATTTCAAATCAAAATTTATTTACATAGCACTTTTCATGCATCAAATGCAATGTAGACTGCTTTACACGAGATAGGATGGCCAAGTATTTGATAGAATGGGACATCTGCGCACATCAATTGAAAAATGCACAGCCAATGGGGAATAAAACTTCTAAGTTGAGACACGCATCTCCAATCTCTTTTGAATTGCTGATGGCAGTTTGAAGAAAGATCATCCCAAAGCTCAAAGTGAGCAATGCCATTTTTCAACAGTGGATTCACTCCCCGACACAGACTAAACAAAGAGCCCTGTGTGCATGTACATGACCTTTCGCTCTGACCTCTAACCTAATGTCACCTCTGAAGCTGCAAACGGCCGTCCCCAGTGCCTTGTACTTCCATTGCTAGTTTTAGCACGAGTATGTCACATCACACTTGGTGGGCAACAGCATACTCTCGACCTACTTCCTCTCTGTAGCAATGCAGACAGTTCCATCTGAGGTCAAAGGTTAAAAGACTTAATGCGTCAGCCTGACAAACAGAAGCAGACTCGTATCGGGCAGCTTCAACAAAATGTAGACAGTTAGGGCCACCTGCAGACCTAAACGGAACCTAGTGCGGGGGCGGTTGGATCCCCGGCCAATGTGACCGTGTCAAAGTGTCCTTGAGCGAGATACTGAACAACGAGTTGCTCCTGATGCAGCGGCATCAGGGGGAAACAGTGAGAAGGTAGAAAAGTGCTATTCGAACCAAAGTCCATTTACAATTTAGCACAAGAACTGGAACAAAAGTTCTTAGATAATAGTGTGCAATATGGACATAATTTTATATTCCCATGAAGGTACATCCCGATTATTTTGCCTTTAAGTCCAACAGGAAGGTTGTGACAAATGGACTCGGGAGAAAGTGCGAGCATGTCTGCAAGGCGTTTTCTGAAGCCACACGCTAAAGAGCTCACTGACATCTGGGCGGGGCGTGCTGAATTCTGAGATACGGGTTCATTTCTGACACATTCCAAACACATCCCTTCATGTCTAACAGGTGCAAATTATTTTCCAATAAGCATTCTTGTTCCTGATCGCTGACATATGATGAGGCACCGCTTGTCTAGGCAAGTACAGTCATCACACAGTTGTATTGCATGATTAGAGAAGAAATTAAGCTATTTTATTTTGCCTTGGCTTGAAAATTGGCTGGAGACAGTAATTAGTTTTTCAGGGTGATGCCATGGCCTATTCAAAGTGCTCCGAGGACGGTCATAATTCCCCCTACGGTCAGCTGGGCTACATTGGACCCAACAAAATGAAGAGAGAGGATGGTTAAAAAACGTCCACATATCGGGAACTAACCAATTAGAGGAAAGCTATTTTCTATAACCGATTAAAGAGAACAGCGACCTGGCTGGAACAAAGCTTATTTTCAGTACTGAATCTTTTTTTAATATGAACGAGAAAAAACATTCCAATTTCTGTCAAATTAAAACAATGAAAAAGGGCATCCTTTGCATCTCCAAACTAAATTATCACGCAAATCTGATAAAAGGACATCAGAGATTATTTAAAAAATGAAAACAAATTATTGCTTCTGGACCCATGTCACTGCTGAGTTCACCTGAGTCTCGAGTGGTAGCAGCTCCTGCTATTGGACACACCCGAGTTGTTGTAATCACACTAATGACAGGATTGTGGATTTTATTTTTTTCGGAGCCCCTCTCAACTTTCACTCAAGTGCTGTATTGAAGTACTACAGTGATTACTGAAACAAAGAAAGTGGTCATTAGAACCTAAATAGAGACATATTTAGAAGGAATGATGGATAAACCACGTGAGGAATGAGGGCAAATGGAGTGAAACTAAGGAGGCGAGAGGCTGATCGACATGTGCTGGACTTATTTCCATGGGAAATAATAAACAGAAAACATGACAGGACGGCGGAGCAAGAGGTCTCTTGGCAAAAAGTAGTTTAGTGCTACTTAACTGAAACAGATGCCCTTCTTTCCATTCCAGTAAACATGGGAAGGCATGTCTATGTCTACAAGTGAGCACGTGTGTCACTTCAACCCGTTTAATGGCTAATGGTTTGGCTTCCTCTTCTAGATATTGTTCTTCTTTAAATCAAAGGACATAAAGATGATCCCTTTTGTGTGAAAAAAAAACAAATCTTGCTTGTTGGGTAATTCATATTGAGAGGGAATGTCTACTTTGAACAGCCGCCAATTAGGGATTTACATTTTCTATTTCTCTTCAGCCCTTTTTTTTTTAATTATTAATTAAGGTCTTCGTCCCTCCTCATCTGTCCAAACCGCCCAAAGACTTGGGCCCCATTCCTGCCCTCACCTTTCATCTTGGCCTCCGCCCTTAGCTTTCATCTCTAACTGACATTCTAATCTCACTCTTTCAATTCTGATCCCAGTCACCTTGTTTTAAATAATAGCCGGTACGTCTCTGGAGTACATACTCCTCCCTTTTTTCTATTCCTGTTTCCTTTTCATACCTAAATATACATAGTAAGTGTAAGCTGCTCAGCGGTACTAACAGATTCATAGAACCTTGTGGCTTTTGGGCTGCATGTGAAAGGGCTTAAGCAGAGCAAAGCGCTTCATTTCCAGATGCAGTCAGTCTCACACCGTTACAAAGACTGCAGTAGGTTCCTCCAAAATCTCCAGCTCCTGAGAAAGGTTCAAGTTTGTTCGTTTCACCGTCCCCCTCCACTCTTTTCCTTTAGAAAACATTATGTTCACCAAGCTATTTCCTGCCTCCCATTTCATCATTTTCCACACAAGCACCTCCTCCCCGTCTGGCAAGCATTTGTGTGGTGAGGGGAGGTGAATTTCTGGAGCTGTTAGTTTATTTTAGGATAAATAAAACCTCCTCAATGCCAGAATTCCTCCCCTCATACGTGCGTGTCTGCCCTTGCTACAGACATAGCTCGCCTGTTCTTGGTAAGGCAAGTCTTTGCCATAAAAGGCAGCAGATGCCCGTTTCGTCTCACCAGATCAGAGCTGCCCACAAGACCAAGACCAGAACTCTGCACACAGGGAACAGACTGCCACAGCCTATTTAGCACCAAAAGGGACCGATCAAATCTCACACGTCAGGAAAACCTGGTTCGACCTGTATGGAAACGCATCAGAGACATGTGAAGATCCTGTGCGCACACTTGGTGCTGTGCATTTTGTTGAGAAAAGGTTTAGAAGGGGGAGCAGGAAGCAGACACGCTGGTGTGACTCTGCAATAAGGAAATGGGGTTTGCATAGTCGGGTGACATGCAAGACTGCACGACAGAGCTATGGAATGACTGACCTGGCAGCTGTTCAATTCCATCTGTTAGCCACTATCTTGACCCCTTTTACTTTCACCAGCACGACCCCCTACCCACCAGCCAGCTTTATTCCAGTGTCCAGTTTACCGAATATTTAAAAGGGAAAATGTAATAATTGGGCTAGATGACTAAAAACACTGTAATATGCACTCCAGAGCAGTAGTTGGCGATAGCCCGTTGTAAAGAGGCACTACCGATGCGCAACAAGTGCGTGTTCTTTGTTGTGTATGTAAGGTGCAAATTAAGAGTTTGGTAATGCAACTCAGCAGAACGCGTTTGTATTGCAGAAAGTGTACACTTGTACTGGTGAATTGTTGTAGGCACAAATGTGACTGCAGTGCTGTGCTCTTTCATTACAGTTACAACATGATAAACTTATTTCGGTCCCGCATGCACACTTTGAGTTTTTTTTTTTGTTTTAAAGATGACAATTTTCATTTACCTAGCAATGGTAAGGCTATTATTTATTCAAATTTATACATTGAGACAAGATTTTCAATTTGTGCATTTTTTGGATACCCCCCCACCCCCAATGTTAATCTGTTTCAGTTAAAAACAGGCTCACAGGATGATGTGAGAGAGAACAGACTAACCTGAAAAACAACACCATTGGCCCGATTACACTAAAAATCAGTCGCTCAAATAAGTCGTTAGGTTGAAATGTGCTGATTGCGCCAAGCAAATACAAACCTGTGCTTTCAAGTACACACGCTGAAGACAAGCACAGCCTTATTGCTGCAGTATCTCCTGTTCTCAATCCCCCCGCTTTTCACAACCAACCCGGCCGGTCACAACAGCTGTGTTCTGCACATTACGAGCTGCATCACAAGAGACCTCGAGAAGTGTCCACAGCAACAGAGTCCTAACGACTTTGTATGCGCAAACACCAGGCAAATGTGCATTCAAGCCACTGTGTGTAAATACATCGGGCAACGTTAAAGGAACACCTGGCAATTCAATTGAAACTGTACTCTCCTTTGCTACCGGATCCCATTTGCATGGTCTTGTATACACCACAAGCCTGTCCAATTAAGAGAACCCATTTCCAATTAATCCGGCAATCACTTGTGGCCACAATACTGAGAAATGATGGAAAAATAATTTCAGTGCCAACTCTAAAACTTACCTACACAGATCAATGGTTCAAACAAGAGAATGTTTATAATTGCTGCTTTTCTCATTATTTATTTAATTACTCAGCATCAATAATATTAACAAATAATTCAGATTTGTTTGCGACTGTTTGGAAACATGGCGAGCATGTTTTTTTTTAACCCACTGGTATGAACTGTGATTTTGTCAATTAGTTCAACATATTCCAAGCAATAATGTTCCCATCACTTGTGGTTTGATTGTAATTTACATCCGGTTGACATGAGTGCAATTAGCATAAAGGCAGGCTGAAAATGACACATGATGTACAACGATGAGCAAATCCTGACACACAAAACATACATACGTATACGAACAACTGGACACCAACTGACTCAGTGCTGGATATCCTATTTTGGTGTTGTTAAAAATGCTTATCCTGTAGTGGCACTCCTGAGGAGCACGATTCAAACCTACGTGACCTTAAAAGTCTCTAAAAAGGATTTGTCCTTTCAAGAAGCAGGGGTCTCCAACCTTTTTGAAAGTGAGAGCTACTTCTTGGGAACTGATTAACGCAAAGAAAGTCGACCAGTTTGATACACACTTCTGAAGTGAATTTGCTGTAATACCCCATAATTATATTATTTTATATATTAAAAAGGTATGTGAGGACGATGAACATGTTCATGATTTCTGACAATAATTAGGAAACAGATATTTCTATAAAACTCTGCCAGCGTTTAAATTGTCAAATGACTTCTACAACGTTCGTAGAAAATCACAATGTGCCGTCCCCGGTAATCTATTTTAAGAGCAGGCCTCCGGGCTACTCAAGTGGTCCTTGGGTGCTACCTGGCGGCTGCAGGCACCATGTTGGTGACCACCGAGTTAAAATAAACCAATCAAATATTAATAGAACATCAAACAACTATTAGCCATTCGGAGCAAATGAACCTTTTCAAGAAAGGAGAGTAGTGTCTGTCAGGAGGAGCCATTTACTCGAAGCCAGGCTCCTAGATCTACTTCAGGCCCCAAATTGAACAGGCCAACCTGTTCTTTTACGTGAAACAACCAAACCATTGAGAGCAGCTTGGTCTCTGCAAAGCAAAACCACGGCAGCCATTACGCAGCTAAAAAGAGATCACGCGAGCGCGTTCAACTGCTGTGTAAGGCTCTGTTGGTCTGTCAGAGCTTCTGCCAAAGTTCCTGTGAAGATTCACAAGCATCTTTTTCAAGATGACCTTTTTAGTTCTGTGGGGACGAGATAAGCAACAAGAGCAAACAGAGAAAGCACAGCTGCCACCACTTAATCGGGAGCATCGCCGGGAGCGTGAGCAGCACTGTAAATCAGTACATGAGAATTGTAGCCAGGGAACAGGTCTTAAATGTGCACACACTGTTCCAATTCAACAACTTCTACCGTCCCAGCAGCGCTTTGCCTAACGCCTCTTTCCCTTGTCATCCTGTGTTAAACCCCATTTAGTGGCTCACGGGTCAGCAGAGCCTTCAAGGGCCCCCTGCTATTACTATAATAGAGCCTCATCAACATTACAACACCAGTGTGTGACAGGAAGGGTGGGGTGGGGGGTCTCCATGTGATAAGATTGGAATTGCTGTTAAGCACCTCGAACAAATAAGTTGTTTGGGGGAAGTTTAGCTGAGACACTGGCGTACAAAAACGCTGACATCTGTCACTGGAAACTCAAAGTCACAAGTTTTGACAGAAATGAATTTCCTTGAATTTATTTTCTTGTGTTCATTAAGGATTTGCGTTTTCTTGAACGCCCCCCCCCCCAAAAAAAATCCCCAAAGGAGGAAATGGGTTAACAGAGGCGCTGTAAACAGCTCCACTGCAGTCCCAACCCCTCATAAAATCCCAGATGCAACCTTGGAAACTGTGATTACGTGTTTTAGTTCGGTCTTCTCTGGAGATGAATATCATTTAAAAATCCAAGAGAATCTCTAAGCGCCAATTTAATCCTGGTGTGAGCTCTATGAATATTTACTAATTTCTACAAATTAATACCAGATTACTGTACTTTTCGGACCATAAGGCACACTTAAAATCCTTCAATTTTCTCAAAAATCGACAGTGTGTCTTGTAATGCGATGTGCTCTAAGTCTGGATGAATGTTGGCTTTTCAGTTGTCAGTCTTTGATTCAAATTTCTTCCTATTACATTTGCGTTGTCATTCTCACTCGCATTTTATCACTAGCAAGCATCTATATGTTTTTGTCGTACCGGAAATAGGACTACTTCCTGATTCTGTGTCTAAGAATCATGAGAAGCAATTTCTGGTGGCTTTTTTCCAATATTACAATGTGCACCGAGAGGTAAACAAAGTTAAATTCCTACCTATTTACTTTAACATTTATGTTTGCGTTTGTTTTCGCAATACCCGAGCTAGAACTGCTTCTCGTTTTCGTGTCTAAGAATCATGGGAAATTGTTGTTGGTTAGACCCAACTTAAAATGAGCTTTTCTAGTAGCATTAGGGACCTGACCAATGCGAGGTAGACACCAAAGCCAGCTTTCAATAGCTGCCGTGACCAAGTTAAAAAAAAAGGATAATAGTGAGTGCATTGACTTATTTACAGCGGTTGTCCTGTCTAGCATTTAGCATTAGCCAAAGTAATTACACAACCACCAGTCAATATAATCGCAATTTGAGAAAGTGTGATTTTGTGATTGCACAGGCTGAGGTTTAAACGGTCATTACTTTATTGACAGTGGAATGCTAAGCTAATGCTGCTGCGCTAGCTTTCAGCCACGCTAGCTTTCAGCTTTCTAACATGCCCGATCTTTTTCATCTCACATGGTTAAAACTCCCTGTG